ATCGGCGCCTGTAATTACCTCACTTTTCCCGGGGGTTGTTTTAACTCGCTACAAAACCGGTTCATTCGGCGGGATTAGCGAGAGGTCAAAATTTCCGAAGTGAATCTCATCCCTCATCGCCCCCCCCCCCATCCTCATCCCAACTCGCCGATTCTTCCTCAGGAATTTTCCATTCGACCCACGTCCCCAGTTCCGCCCTATTTTCGCCTCTCGCTCGACGCGCCGACTGCAGGAGCGACTGTCGTTCGTTCGCAAAATGTATGCACAATGCACATCCACAGGTACCTTACCGATGCGAGCCAGCGGAGAGAAAACGTTATACCGGGTGTGCGTCAATCGATCTAAGGCAATGGTATACGTATGCATGTATATCAGTGAGACGTGTGGTATTACGACGTGAATGACGGGTAGGTGATTTTTTTATGGACAAACATCGAAAGCATCGTTGATCCAGTGTTTATCAGGGGCTATTGTCATGTGTATGGATATTTTCTTAGAATAAGATCCGACGGTTCAAAGAATAGGATCCGCACGACACACTTGACGCGTAGAGAGACAGGCACTTGCAAAAGTTGCAGAGGTTCAAAAGCAGTTGGCGCGGGTTCCTCGTACCGAACGTTTTACCAAATTGTCCGAATCTTGGGAGACTTTCTTGTTTTCGCGAAGAAGCCGCGTGTCGCGGCGTGGAAAAAAGTGTCGGGAAACTTTAGCAAAAGGAAAGTGCATAGGGATTGAGTTGCGTCATGAGGGTGACGTGGGGTATTAACTTTTGTCGTCTTTTCCGAAGGATCCTTAAGGCGTCTAGGACCTTTGGAATTGACGTGTATAGTACATACCATAAGACATCGTTATATCGTACTTTTCTTTTTCCTTTGAACCAATGGCTGCCATGGGAGTCACAGCGACGACCGACCATTCAATTTAATATATCTATAGGGTTCGACTACCGTCACACCGTACGGAATACTAGGATATGACCACGTGATGTCATTCGTATGTATTTTACATAAAATACGTATATATATATACTATGTGGTACGTTTCCTTTAATATGGAAAAAAATGTTTGTTGTACCAAGTAAAAGGTTGATATCAATCTTTTCGAAAAAATCGATAAATGACTTCCGATAGAGTTTAACTGAAATTAATGAGAATTTGAGTCGCCAGTCCAATTTCGAAATGCTGCCTTAGGTTTTAATGGCAAACGCACGTAACGGGTGTGACCGTAAGTCAAAGTTCATTCTTTACGTAATTTCTATGTGAGAACATCGAATTAGCGTGTAAATAATTCAGTGGCCTGGATCTTAAGATTTACATATCTGACTGCACGTGGTGCAACGAAAACTCGTGAAAATCTCGAAGCAGAATCGAAGTCATAAATTCTCTTTACATGGTAGGTAGGTAGATGGATGGTACATGCTACAAAAAATATCAGTTGTATAACCTCGGATATGCATTACGTGTATATTCGACCAAGAAAAATGCTCAAGATAAGATACGTGACGTAAACTCAGAAAAAATATTTCAGTCGTTCCCAGTACGTCATATTTGTAGACCATTAGCAAGTCGAGTTCGACGCGTATTCTGTATAGAGACTTCATAAATATTTATTAGCCGCCATTTGTTTCTGTTGTTTAATAAAAAGTTCGAGCATCCATATCTCGTCACTATGAATCGCTTCTCAGAGAGCACCCGGTATACTTCACGGCTGCAGTCCTCGAATCTGGAGCAAACTAGATAGCTGGCAACTAACTGATGCATAACTTAACTTACGTGTGTTTACCGTTCGTTCGCTTGCTCGTTGGTTAGTGGCTCAGAGTTTTCATGGAATCCTGGGTTCATGGGTTCAAGAGTTCATATAGGTTCATGGATTTATAATAGATTCGTTAATACCCTAGTATCGTTCCTATATCTTTCCAAGTTACTTTTCAAAAAGAATTTTCCAAACGGAAATGGGAAATCCAGTTGTGCGGAAACTCGCTGAAAATAATCAATCAAATTCGACCAAAGGAAACGCGATAATGTTCAAGCGACCAGAAAGTTTAATTGATTTCTCGCAATTCTCACGCGTTGGGAACTTTTTGAATTGCGTGACGTCATACCAGCCGAACTCGCACGTGGACTCCATTTTAATGTTGAATTCATTATTCGATTCGATGATGCTATTTTTAGGACACCGTGTATCCCCATGGGGTAATACGGCAGTGTCTTCTTTGCTCCTGTCTTGCAGCATTGAGTATTGGTCGGTACCTTTTGAAACACCTTGTACAAGAGGAAGGATCATTTTCTTGCATAAGAAAGATAAGCCAAAGTGGATACCCGAGGAGGCTGCACTCTCTATGCAAAACGAGTAGCTGATCGTTGTTAATTTTACGTCCAAAGCCGACGGCCATCTTTCCTGTTTTTAACCATTTTTCCCACATTTTCCAGTCTCCCGATGGATATCGCTAGTTATTTACCAAAACTCATGGGTTCCTGTGTCTTCGATGATACCCAGCATCCATGTCATCCGGACGTTCTGGAGCATTGAGATCCCGCAAGGAGCTTCGATCTCGGATGCTTTTATAAAAATAGCACAATCTCTCCTTCAAACTCGATTCGTTAAAACTTTCAAACCCTCATTGAGTTTGAGATAGTGGGGCAAAAAGTTGGTTGCAGGAGCAAAAAGAAGAGCAGGTCAGGTTAAACCAGACCGGATATCTCGAGCCCCGAGGGAGTGACCATCGAATCGCACGAAAATCACGACTCGCGCCGCGAATTCACACGGAAGATGGAATTACGCGGGTCACGCAAAGCACCTCTACGTTTTGCGCTATCGGATTGACCTTTCGAGGATAACTAAAACCCTACTCTCGGTGTACCTCGTTCTACCCTTGGCGGTAGGTCGCAAAGAGCCGACCAAGGAGACGCCTCGATATTCCCAACCTTCGTGAACAAAGTTCACAGAGACAACTTGAAAATACTAAATTACATTCTCATACGGAGTTTACGTGTTACGTGGATAACAAGAATACAGCGGAAACTTTATTCGATATTGATTGATCGCGCCTAACCTAACCTAACCTAACCTAACCTAACCTAACCCAACCCAATCAATCCGATCACCGATTCTCGTAAACGTGACCGCTTACCAAAGTGCTGTTATCAAGTTATATTTTCCCGATGTTCTACCAAGTAAGGGGCGTGGCGAGAAATAAAGAATGAAAGATAAAAGATAAGAAGATAAGGGATAAGCGTCATGAAGGTAGGGGGGAGGGGCCGCTGGAGCACGCAGCTATGATCGAGATGGGCGGTGATAAAATGCAGCGACTCTTCCGTTGTCTCTTCTAGCCGAGGACAATATTCTCGCGGAATGGTTTATTACCGCGTTGGCAATATTGCACATTCACCCCCTTCACCCCACCTTCACCCCCTTCACCCCCACTTCACCCCCTTCACCCAGTGCAGTCTGAACTCCCTCGCGGCTCTTGGCTTTGCCCCTCTGCCCTTCAGACTTCGTGCCCTTCGCCCTTTAACCTCCGTCACTCCCCCCCCCCCCCCCCCGGTGAACTCCCTCGCGGCTCTTGGCTTTGCCCCTCTGCCCTTCAGACTTCGTGCCCTTCGCCCTTTAACCTCCGTCACTCCCCCCCCCCCCCCACCTGGCCACATCGTCCTCTACGCTCAACAAGGTAGCAACCCTTGTAGTTATGAGTTTTTCAAGCTGGATCATTGCCCCCTTTTCTACGGGGTCGACAGCCTCTTTTTCAACAGGTTTCCATTTTTCGCCGTTATATTTCCACGTCCGCAGGTCACGCTCGACCACTTGGTTTTTTTGGGGAAATTTTCTTTATTAAAAAAATATAACCGACCCTCATCCCCGTTATCGCCCATTACTCTTCCTTTATGATTTCCTTCCGGTGTACTTTCGATTCGACCTCTCTCAGTACTTTGGCTCGTGCAGTTTCAAAGTAACGAGTCAGCGCGAGGCGTCGCTGAGCGTCGCCGAGCGTCGCCAATGCTCCTAGAAAAGCTTCGACGCCTTTAATAGTCTCCAGCTCACGAGAATGATTCGTGGTGGCAATAACGAGTTTCCCTTGCGTAACCATTTCAAGGAGAAGGACATTAAGAGAGAGAGAGGGAGAGAGAAAAGAGGAGATAAAGACGGGAGAGACAGAGTAAGCTGACGCTTTTGCAACGCGATTCGATAAAAGCAACTACCTTAAAATTCTAGGCTTTATTCAGACTTGAAACTTTAATGATATTTGCCTTACAACCAGACGTTTGCATGTGGTCTGTCGCATTGTCGTCCCTGAATTTAATGAAAACGCGCATGAACGAGATGTGCGAGCATGTCGGACCGATTTGAAATTATTTCGTAATCTCTATCCGGCAACGATTCATCGTCGGTTTCAATGGAAACGTGTCATTTTCTTGGGCAGTTATATACGAGCCAATGTTATTTCGCTGTCTGGATGCTAATGTGGGGTTTGATCACTCTTTGTCCTCGAGTAGCAATCTCGATAACGGGTCGGACAAAAGTACGCAACACGCCCACGCCCCTCTGATATACATACAGACGTCAAAAGGTTCCTTTATTTTTTTTCTACCTATAGTTATATGGATACGTGTGCGTAGGAGTGAACCGTGACGCAATTTGCACGATGATAATAGCGAGAAAAAGAAATCCGAATTGAACTGTACGAACGATCAAAACCCTTGAGCAAGTGTGTTGACGGCTAGACGAAATTCTTATGGGAATGAAGATGAAAAGGAACCCTTGGCAATATTGAGGGAAATCTTTTGGGTTTTTCCATGGAGACCAAGGGTGTAGGTGGGGTCGCTCGAAATCGCGATGACGGGAACCCCAGCAAATTCTTTTTACGTTTTATGAAATTGATGGTAAAAAGGAAATATGAACGAACTCGAGGACGCATGATTCGAATTGTTGAGTCCCTTTGGCTCCGTTGTAACGAATGCGTAATATTGAGAGTATTTTTATTTTTTGAAAAGATAATAAAGAAATTCACTTAACTTCAGGATTTAATAACAGTATTTATAAATTTAAATCGGATACATACGCGTGTCTCACACCTGTAAGAACCTATTGATCTTTTAATGTAATATCGCAAACTCCATAAATATTCATTCCACTTATCTAGTATTTCTTTATACGTCGAGTTCAGCCCCGATCGACGTCACAGCTCCGGTCGATGCATCGCCAATTTGTTTATTCCAGGTTGGATATCCTCTAGTCACATTTCGTATTCCACATACCAGTTGACGAAGGTTTGAAATATCAAAGATTCTCATACTGGGCTCATCGTTCTTCTTTGCTTCGAAATTATTCCACTCGTCCGTCTTAATAAGACAAGTCACACAGCCTATGGGTTCCGTCGCCTATTCGAGAAGAAGATATGTACTATTATATTTGAACGCAAGAATACGGCTATACAACACGGCTGTTGAACGTACCTAGACTTTAGTGTTAAATCTATCGTGCATCTAGATCGCATGTTAATTGGCAAAAGGGAAGACAGCATGGAAGAGAAATAGACTCACGGGTACCACTTAACCTACGATAGCTAGTAGTTAGAGAAAATATTCCCGCGATTGGCGAGACTCCTGGCGGTAGACGATCCAACTAAAACTAAAAGGAATAGCCTAAGCTTAATAGAAGGAATGCCTGTCGGTAAGTGGGTAAGGGACACCTACTTTCCATAGGCACACAGTCGCACTGGAACTTCTTGACAGATATATACTGAAAGAAAACGGGGATCTTAAAAAAGGAGGAACGAAACATTGAAGATTACACAAATTTTCTTCAAAAGGCGAAATATTTTATGAATTTATCAGCTACAAAGATATGTAATATTGAGTGATTGTAAGGATAACGTTGGAGATGTGAAATGCCATTGGAAATTATCACTCCGCCGATGTACGTTAAGAATAGATATGCCTGAGTCGCTTTTATTGAATAATGCAAAAATCCATTAGCTTTGCGCGGTATCGTTTGAAATTGTTGATTTGTTCTTACAACAAAGTCTAATTGATACGCTATGGGCTTATTCGATACATAAAGTTTCACTTGAGAATTATTATCACAGTTATTTGCCAACTAATACAATCATAACGGCCTTTACTAACTTGAACTTTCCATATTCGGGAATGCTTATTACACGAGGCGTGCGGGTGTCCCCTGCATAAATCCTGTTTTAATTATTGTCTGCCTTCATTAGTACGGCACGGCCCTTCTATTTATATGTATATTAAAGCCGTTTGCCGATTTCGCGCGCGACCCTGGATTATCTTTAACTGGGGCTTTTCCAGTTGGCATTACGAGTCCTTCCTGTTCACTAATATTACCCAATACGTTCCTGTTCGCACGTCGATCAATCGCTCCCTCGCCAATATTCCCATTCTCACCTTTTTGCCCCGAGGCCTGTATCTAGTTTTTCCGTTTTTCCTCTTTTCTCAGTATTTCATTTTGACTTACTCATCTCTTTCGTCCGCTAAAATTTTGATCTTTTTTTTTATAAATTCCCCTCTTTCTTCATTTTTGACTTCGAGTGTATAAATTAGTTCATTTTTTTCAAAATATTTTTTATTTCGTTCTCCGCCATTCATGTTTGGTTCCTTCGGTACTTTCTTCATCTTCGCCCACTACGTTCATGTAGCTAACCGAATATACTTCGACATTTTTTTCCCTTCGGTGAAAATGGGGTAAAATCGAGAAAGTCACAACGAAACGATCGACAGAAATAATATAGCTGTTTTTGAGGGTGAGTCCGACTCGATGAATTGCCCTTGTTTAACACGCCAGCGAGAGACCGAAAAGCGGTGACTTATATTTCACTTGGCTACCCCTCATGATAAATTACAGAGACTGGGAACTCGACTACTCCGCTTTTCAATAAATTAAACATCTCGAAGTGCGATTTGTAATGCGTCCTCCGAAGCACGAGTCGACCATAAGAAGCATTTTCCAGCACAGTCCTCGAGTCACTTCCGCGTTTCCCGTACCAAGACATCTCAGCCTCCACCTTCGGCGCCCCGACTCTCCCGTCCGCAAAACATCTTTTTGTTTCTTTTCGCCGCTTGATGGATTTTATTGAGAATTCTATTAAAGCATTTTCACAGTATTCTTATCACGTACTTTTCTTCCGACGAGTTTTTCAGACTCACTGTGCCTGACCAATTAGGCATTCTCAGTTTTCAATGACTCAATAGGGCTAACTTTCATTTCAGCGAACCCCATTAAAAACCCTTGCGCCTTGTTTTTTACGTGAAGCAGGAAATAATTATGAGGGATAATCGCAGGGATAATAGTCTTTATTTTTTAATTGACAGATGTGGAACTATGGTTTAGCTTCATCTTCTTCTCGAGGGGATGATATTTCTGAAACTGTCATATTTGTTACGCATTGTTGTTTTTTTTTTTTCGTAAGAAAAAACTTGTTCAAATTTATGGTCCAGCTCATAAGACCTGGAAAGTTTTACATCTTAGTCTTTTGCCACGGGATTCTGCACAGCTGTACATTAATAACGCGATACAGAAAAATGAAGATGGAAAATTGCGACAGATCTTGGATAAAAGGGCTAAAGGATTTAATTGAGCTCAACGCCATTTAAATTGTGTCGACACTTACGACCCGCTGGTTATATTTTTTGCTTGAAAATCAAGCCAAATGCTTGAAGCCAATCTTCTATACTTTTGTGTATCAATCAGCCTTCTGATATGGGCGCCAAGAGAGAAGTTTTTATCGAGGGTCTATTTATACCGTCAGCCAGAGGATGGGACACCAGCAGAAACTTTATTTTTTCAAGGTTCAAATTGCGTCCCGACTAGACGTTTTTAATGATAAAAATGATTTTAAAAAAATTTGACGCGTACTGTATTTGTAGAGTTTGTTTTTGAACATTTTTTATTATTTAACGTTGCTCTGGGCTTCTTTTCCAAATGTATTTCACAATTTATTACATTTTTGTGAAAATTATTTATTTGTATCAGGGACATGATGCACGTTTTTCGTATCGTCGTTGTGGAGGACACGAGATTTTTCCTTCGTCTAGGGAATTTAGCAAACAGACAATGAATTTTACTGAACGTAAAAGACAGATATTATGTGGCAATCGTGATATTCTATTTGGAAATAGTTTTTTCTTTTTTTTTCGAAAAGATTAAATAACGGATGGCCACATAAAGTCGCGTCGTTAACTCCAGATTAAATGTAATTCATTTGTTAGGGTATAGTCGGGGAAAGAAATTTGTTGATTACAAAATAGAGATCAAGCATAAGTTATCTCTGCTTGGAATTTAATTATTATTAATTTTTATCACAGATCAAGTAATCGAAGAGGGAAAGATAAGAAGAATAACATTGAGATGATTGGCTGTACGGATAAGGTGCCGGTGAACAAAAGTCATTCGAACTTATAACCGATTTGCATTGAAATGCAGGTCGAGGTCAAGTCCCATAAGAATTGTAATTTGCAATTCCAACTTAATGGACAAACTTTCTCATTCCTTTTCTTGCCACGAAACCCTACAAAACTTTTATGAGCTTAATACGATGCGAATTCGAATGGGTAAAGATGTGTCCCACTTTGATTCCAGTCAATTATTATTCCTCTTTTTATCCTGAAGCCGTATAAACTAACTTGTGTCCTTGAATATTCTCAAGAATTCTTTGCTAATGAAAACCATTGATATTCTGCACCGATGATATTAATAGGGATCCAATGATAAGAAAAGCACAGCTGGTAACATTGCAGTTACCGACCGAGCCTGAAACTGTTTTACCAGCAACGCATGGAGCTTGCGACGAGTGTCGATAATGAAGAAATCACGAAAGTTCCAAGCGGAGCTTTTCCTACTTTACCATATTACGTTCGATTTTCTTTGCAAAGTGGAAAATCCTGTTGCTAGTGTCGTTTACCTACCCCCGATATAACTTTCATGGACTCGGTGTAAATGTTAGTCCATGCAATACTGAAATTTCGACAAACAGAGAGACAATCGAGCGAGCAGATTTAAGAAGCGTGGAAGATCAAATAAAATATTTCAAGACTTTCCGTTTGACTAGCCCAGCTTCTTAATGCTCGCCAAGGAGCTCTGGGCTTCAGAATAAGGTAAAATCATCAAAAGTAAATGGAGACACTCAGGACAGGCGGATTTAGGTATCGGTAGGCAGCTCAGGCACCCAGTCCCAACAGTGAGTTCCCTTTGGCACCACAATAATAATTCTGTCCACGGATTTCTTTCTCATGCAAATCTCGCTTAGTGCTTTTATCTCCTTACACTCTTCCGCCGCTGCTCTCCTCTCGTCTCCACCCACCTATTCCTCCCTTTTTGCCGTCACGTCCGTGAGCTGCAACCCTTCCCACCCGATTTGGATTTTATGGTAATCCGACTTTATCCGCTGAATCGCGAAATAACCGACTACAATGAACATAGGATTTCAACACCCGCTCTTTCTTTTGCTTTCACCATTTCTCTTATTGGCCTTCAACCAATATCTTTCTACCGTATCAATCCCATTCGCATTATCACTGGTCCTGTGTATGTGTCTCTTTGACAATTTTTCTGTTTTATCGACAGTTACATATTTTCCCAGAAATATAATTGATTATACAAAAAAAAAATGAATTCCTGGTCTCATTCGGTTCCTAGTGCATCGTATTTACTACGCAATTATAGACATTTCCCAGGCAGAGCAAAGTCACGTACTTCAATTACCTTTGCGAAATTCCGCGTTAGTCAAATACGGGTACTAATTGGAGTCAACACGTTTCCAAGCACAGCCTTCCAGCCCAGGTTATCTCGCGGGATGAGAGCACATGTGCTCGCACGATTTGCAGGCAATAAAAATTTCACCGAGAAATTTCGAAAGAGCAAACAAAATCTCCCTATCGGTGAGATTGCACAATCGAGAAAATAATAAATTTTCCTCATATTGAATTTTCCCCAAATATTACCTAAACTGCTTTACCTCAGTAGCTACGCGTGCAAACAATGTCCTTGATCCGTATTCCTCTGTTACAGGATATTCAGCTGCTGCACTGCTAGCTATATTATTCTGCATCCCTTTCTCTCTAAGGGTTCTGATCCACAAGGAAACGGGAAGATGGAGCAACTGGACCCAAGCCTTCTATCACGCACACTTCGAACTATTTTTGGGAAACGGTTGCCTGGGTGAGATGCATACTTTTTTTCTCATCGCAGCATCAATAAATGGTCCAGGTATATTCGAGATGAAAAAAAGCGAAATTGAAGCTCCGCTCACGATCAACCTCAAAGGCGGAAGACGTTTTCGTTATCATTACGTGATTAGCCCTCGAGATAATCCAGTACCAATATTTATGCCCGTAGTAACGCCTATACTAATTTCCAGGTGTGGGAGTGATGATGCTCCTTGCTCTGACAGTGGAGCGTTACGTGAGCGTCTGTCATCCAGGACAACACACGAGGCCCCTGTGTGGACCACCCCACCTGACGGTGGTTCTCATTCCTCTGGCTACGTTCCTGGTCTATTTGCCAAGCATCTTTCGTGGCGAGATAACCACCTGTCTCTTAACACCTGCCGGCCCGCTCATTTATCAGAAGAGAGACAACATCTTCTTCATGCACTCCTTGTTCTATCAGGTAATCAGACCCACGTGGCATTTACATAGCACGGGATACACCAGCAACGGCCACGCACAGAAAGCACCAATTTACTTCTCCCAGGTATACAAAGTCGTATTGGAAATCGTCTTTAAAGTCGCGCCGACCATTCTGCTGGCCGGGTTCAATCTGCGGATCATGATAGTCTACAGAAGATCCTGCGAGCGCCGACGGAGGATGACGCTCTCGAGGACCGTGAGCAGCGACGAGGATCCCAGGACCTTCGCCGAGGAGAGGAGACTGGTCCTGTTGCTGGGCAGCACCAGCATCCTCTTTCTGGTGTGCGTCAGTCCTATGGTCATTCTCAATGTCACTCTTAGCGAGAGCAATCTCAGTCTGTATCCTTATCAGGTAAGGAGATTTATTATCGCACTTTCATATTATTAGGGATATTAATAATTCTCCCTGTGTCTGGATACGTGTACAAGTAGACTCCCCATCTTCCCCTTTATCGCCGAGCATGATCCGGCGTAGGGGAAGTCAGCCCCCCTCTCCTCGTCTCTTCTTCGCCCAGATTCTTTCTCTTGCACGGGACATTATTTGTCCGCAGGTCTTCCGAGCCCTGGCGAATCTCCTCGAGGTGATCAACTACTCCATAACGTTCTACATTTACTGCCTGTTCTCCGAAGACTTTCGTAACACCCTGATACGTACCTTCCATTGGCCCTGGGGGTCAGAGGGCAGAAGCGGTCGGGGCGTTCCCATGAAGCGCTCGCCGATACCGAGGCCCACGACCACGACTACACCACCGACGACCGCCGTCGCGACGCCCGGGCACGTGACGCGTGCCAGCGTCTAGCGATGTCACGGGCGCTGCTGCCAGGATCAGCGCCAAGAGAGAAGCGACAGTGTCCGACCTTGTCTACGTTATGGCGTCTCGGCGCTGTAAACCGACGGATGCGAGATTTCTTTTTATTCCGTCGGACAAGCCGACGCGAGGCGTCGGGCCTCTTTACGATTCTTTGACGTGGGAATAGCGGGAGAGAGAGAGAGAGAGAGAGAGAGAGAGAGAGAGAGAGAGAAACAGGAGAAAGTTTGATCTGTACTTATCTGTGATGACCGCCATTAGATTTTTCTACCGATGCGACGAGCGTCCCGACGCCATTTTTTGAAGAAAACTCATCACGAGCTTTTCATCGCGATGGACCGTTCCATGATGATTTGTAATCACTCCTGGACACTCTGCGGAGAATTTTGGAGATTACACTGGTCGTCGTTGAGGGGTCGAGTGAATTGGTATAATTATTTTTGCTGGTAAGAATTATCTGTAAACTTCGAATTAACTTGAGGGAGATAAAAGTGGTTTCGTCTAGTATGTAAATGTGTCATGGGGCAAAAGCTATGGAATCCAGAATGGGAAAAATAGCCCATGGGGTCTCTAGATTTTTGTTCGTCTTTTCTTCTTCCTTCTTTGCTGCTCCAGACTATCGGTGATACGACTCGTCCTGTACAGTCCTTTCGGTGCATTGGAACGCTTAATGGTCTCTTTTTTTCTACTTGACCAAATGGAAATGCGTGTAGTTTCGTTCCCAGTGCGAAGAGACGCGACAGCGTGGCGTTGCAGCAAGAAAGCAAAAGACAGGCAAACGGAGAATGAATGAATATATAGTAAACACGTGTATACGCAATGTTGCGAATGTTTAAAAGAAAACATACCATACCGAAAGTACGTGTTCGTAAATGTACAGTAATTCGTCATGCATGTGAAAATCATTGAATAAATCAGTCACTCGATACCAACGATCGAATAATTGTATTATTCACGAAACCAATCGCTACCCTGAAATCCTGTGTTGAACGATTCGTCCTTACTTTTCTGTTGAAAATTACAGATTTTGCAATTAAACAGATTGCGCAAGATTTCTAATCGATGATACGTATCTGGATTTAAAGAAATTGCAGGAGAATCAGGGATTAGCGTGAGAACCGCTAGAGAAAATAAACCCTTGTAATTTAGGGTATCAATTAAGACTGAGGATGGGGTTGCGGGATATCGAGTTAGTAGCGGAGGGATAGAGGCCTGGAGTGAGCCCTGTTCCGAGTAAAATAGTTAGGGGCTTTCGGTTTGGTGGGAAACCAGCCCTTACGGAAGTCCTTGTAGGCTACGAGGCTTCGGGACTCCAAGAGGAATTGCCGGGCACTTTGGCGTTCGCGCCCTTAAGAAATTCCTTCCATCGAATCCCTGCCGCGTCAACTCTCAAAATTCCCTACTGCAGCAGCCATTCATTTCAACCCTCGAAAGGTCCAACCGAGAGGACAACCCCTAGACTGGCCAATCATTTAGCCACCCTCCAATTTATCTATTCCAACCCCATCGTATCTTGGGTTTAACTAAATATACAAATCCTATTTCACAGTCCACGTCATATACATATACGTTACCCCTAAAGCACAACCAGTACCGAGATACAGCTCCTCAAGCTTTCTGTAATCGAATGAAACGATAAGGTAGTAAACTCCTGCAGAACATCGCATTTGGCCTGATTCACTAAAAAAAAAAATAAAAAAAAATAAAATAAAAAGTCGATTTCACCCCAAAACGAAAAAGATCCTACTTACTTGCACTATACTCTACGCTGATAAATTTTTTTAAGTCGTTACCCACGTAAAGGGTTGTACAATTTTTTCCAATGACGTCGGCCAAGCAAGTTCAGGGTTACGGAGAGGGGTGGTTAGTGAATGGCGCGACGTGATATCTACCCCCGGGCCACTGTCTTCAACCCTCTTTCTCTATCTTTGTCTCCTATCTCCGTCATATCTTGGTCTTGGCGGGGGTCGATCTAGAGGGTTGCTCCCGAGACTGGGGCTGCTCCTCTTCGGCTGGGCGGTTCTCGCTCGATACAGGGTGGCGAGGATATCCTCATGGGCCACGCGAACCCCCGCGAACCCCCGAGCACCTACTGTTACTGTGTGTAATGATATCCAGAAGGCGTCGCGGCGCACTCTGGAATACGCGATGCCCCTCGCAACTCTTATGCAATCCCTACGGCTCGTTCACGCTCCACTATCCCCGTTGTTTACCATCGGATGGCACGTGCAATAAACGAAGTAAATATTGCATTTACATGAGCACGCAGTGCAAATTTATAATTACTTTTAATATTGAAATGCATAACAGTGAAATAATCGTCGGAAGAATTCTATAATGAAAGACCGAGGAGAGGCGAAAAAAGGCGAAAAAAGGCGAAAAAAGGCGAAAAAAGGCGAAAAGAGGCTGCTGACTCGTGGGAATTATGCATAATGAGCATTTCAAGAGAATTCGATGTCTCGTTACCATTTATCTCACCTTATTTCATTCCAACGCGAAATGGCCTCTCGAGATCGAGCGAGTTTCCGATAATCGTATAGACCCCAGGATGAGTTCAGAGTTCACGTACTCCAAAGCTGCTCCTGTCATCTCGCAGGTACGTCAACGTGGCTGTATGTCATTTCAAGTACAGTTTCTTTTTCTTCATTCAACTCACCTTTATGGGATAATTCTAACGACTGTGCGATTGCTCTTTCACCATTCTTCTTTTTTCGCCTTATTTTCTTACAAACTCGAGAGACGGCGGTACAGCCAAGGCAACGAAGCAACTTGTATAACTGAGTCTCATTAATGGCGTCCTGCTTGTGGAGGCGAAAATACAACGAGCGAAAACGTTATAGGAAATTTCGAAAATACATCTAAAATGATGTACTTGGCAATTTTCTACACGTGTCTTTTGGAGTTTCACGTTCCAATGTCGTAGGTGCCTCCCGTACGAATGTGGACCCTCTGTGATACAATTATTCTCGATTATAGCTGGTCTATCTATTCGGCCAATACTGTAGGGGTTATCGAGTAGCACGTTACCGAATTACTCAATGCAAATTGCTTCCGTGTATCTAACTATCTAACTATGTAACTATGTAACTACGTAGGTACCTTCCTGGTTCTAGTTAACAGCACTTCCTGACTAGTAATGACGTCCGTCTCCAGTCGCTCTGGTCGGTTCTAATCAACTCGCAATTCATTTTTACAAGCCGCTCAATTTTGACGTTGATCCATTGGTACTTCGCAGACTCCCGATAGACAGGGCACCTTTTATCTTTATACTGATCTACGTACAGGCTCTGCTAAAATTACACGGACTGGGTCAGAGTGGTCGTTCCTAAAGGGGAACCGGTCAAAGTTCACTAATCAAAATCTCACGGATGACATGTTAAAAAATATTAAAAAGTCTGCTATTTGAAAATCTCTAAGATTTTCTTATGGATCTGTAAGTTTGAACGGCGGTCGAGTGAGTTGAACTTTCTCGATTACGAATCCCCCTCCCGTTAACATCTACGACCAAAAGTCACCTTCAACCCTCAACCCTCTGGCTTTCCTTAGGATCTTTTATTTCGCTGATCCTCCTTGGTTTCTATATATCCTTGTCCCTTTCTCTCCTTTCTCATTCCTGCAATACTCCCAGCGTCGGCCGGCTCCTAAATAACTTCGAGAAGGTCCTAGGGTTATTCTTCCCTTGACGTTACAATAGTCAACCATCTTCCATCCCCTTTCCGTGTGGATGCGGCAGTAACCGAGTCGCTTGCGAAAACAAAATCAGCCTCCTGACTACGTCGGTGCGCCCTATTTATTCTTAGGCCACCTCGCCACTTTCGCCAGCCCATCCGAAATGTATGCCCACGTGTCCTCTTTCTCCGTTCCGCTCTGAGCAGGACGGCGGGGGTAGTGGGGGATTGCAAAAAATATATGTTGACAGATACCAACCGGGGACTTGTCTTTTCTTCTTCTTCCTTTCATCCTCTCTTTTTTATTTCTTCCTCGCACCCCTCCACCTTTACAAGGGCGCCAATGGGCCGGCGGGATTAATCCAGCTTCCGATCACTGAAGGTGGATCGTGCGATTCGTAATGTCCGAGCAAACAGCGGCATAGACACTCGAACAACTTTTAACGCCGGCAATTTCACCTTCCACCCCCCTTAAGGTTTGCCGATCGGCGTTTTGGCCAAATTTCACGAGGCTGAATGGCCACTTGCTGTACGACCCTTTGATTGCTTCCGGAAGTTTGTACAGTATTCCGGAACTGACTGGGAAGCATTTTTTTATATTTCTTTTTGACTCCCTCGTGACCTGCCTGTTTTCCTTTTTAGCTCAATACTTCAAAGAGGAACTACCAGTCAGATCATAAAAGACCGACGCTCTCTTGGGCTTGGAATACAAATCCCGTTCGCGAAGCTGCTTTTCCGATGAGCCGCAAGATTCCTTGCTGGAATTTTAACGATCGAATTTCATCCTATATACACGTGTGTTACTGTAAGATTTCAATTTTTAACCTAAAATTTGATTTTGACTAACCCAAGCGACTACGTCAACGAGTAGCAGTAGTAGGGGTAAGAATTGCTTCTCCATTGCCAACCGATTCCTTCTCTCTACTAAGCTTTAAACTTCATTTTTATCCGAGAACCAGTGGCGTAGACTCAATCAATCTAAAATTGTAATCTGACTCTGGAAGTTTAAATGGTAATTCGAAGAAGGAAGGAAGAGGAAGAATAAGATGAGAAGATTGAAAACATCTTAGAGAACAAATACGAAACAATTAGGTTGAAAGCTGCTCGTAAGGGCGGCGTCAAATTAGAATTCGAAAAAGTTATTCATTGTAGTAATTAATCTCCAGCACGTTAACAACTACCTCCTCGTTCTTGAGTAACGTGGTAGTAAGTCTTTAGCAGTGTGAGACGAAGCCGAGTGTCACGGATGGATAAGCAGCTGAAATATGGAAAAACATTGATTTTTCAACATTTTCACGGCTCGCTTCAAATTTTAGTCTGATTAATTCTTGCATCTTCCGATTTCTTTGTCTCGTTCTTGGGAACTTTTGAGGTAGACAGTCTGGTCCGTGTCTCTCCCACTCTCCCTCCCCCCCCCCTCCGTCTTATTCTTTTTTATATGGAAACTTTGAGAGTTTTCCAAGAAGCCACAAGCCTTGTGTTTATGGATGGAATAAATTACAGGTCCAATGTCGAGGCTCGAATTTCTTCGCTCTCGATGATCTATGGTTCGTTTACAAGCGAGCGATACTTTCCAATAAAAGTTTGCGTGGATTATGTATTATTCGCGATAAAATAAGATTCCAGAATGGTCTAAAGAAATCGAAGATTCTTTATTTGTTCCATAAATTTTACACCGAAAAAAAAAGATTTTTTTAATTTCTCCCCTTTTGAAATTTCTCTCACTTCTTCTCTCGCCATAACGTTTCTTTAATCGTCGCCGTTTCTTTATAAATTGTTCCAAGTCGGGATTAATTAACGCCCAGCGGTAACCATATCCATCCTGCCTAATTAGCATCAAATATGAAAGATAAAAAATAAGGGAAATTAATCCATCATAATTAAAGTCTTTAGGATGCCGTCAGGGTGACGCAACACGCCATGATAACATCTATTTTGGTTTCCTCCTTGCTTCTCAGCAGCGTGGAAGCACGCGCGTGCGCACAGGCGCAGCAAGTAGGAACACATGAATTATACTTAAATTACAATGGACCATTGTTTCGAGTCTACCGGGTGTCACAGTATTTCCATGTAGACGCCCGCACACTGCGTAAACGCAACCCTTATCCCTTATGTCTCCCTTTGCAAACAAGTCAACTCCCTATTCGTTTTCCCAAGCCGCAGAATCGCGAGCGATTTACAATTCGCAAACACCTACGGAAACTGAATTGGTAAGATGAAAAGTTTTCGTGCTCGTTAAGCAATAGAAAATCCTCTCAGGAGAATTACTGTCTTCCGAGTCCATAAAATTATCATGGCAATTAACGAAGTCGCACCTGGAATACCGGATATAAATAAAGTGGCAACCACTGGGGTACATTACGACACCGCATGCAAGTAAAAAGACTCACTGGGAATGAGGTACAAGAAATAGTAATTATTATGGAAAAAAAAAAGATACGTCGGACGCCTCAATTAATTCCAGCAGAAACTGACAGAAAATAGGGAGAAGGGATCTGCATTCTTCCTAAGGGATGAAACTTGTTCAAGGGGGTCGTACGTTATTTCATTGTCAATGCATAGGACCTTCAGGGGTTGTTTGGACTAAGGGAAGCAGCTCGTGAAATGTCAGTTCGAAGATAAGTAACGTGAAAAATGGAAGTTACAAGTAATTGCTGCCGAGATAAGAAAATTTGGACGTTCGAGGAAGGAGAATCATTTTTTAAAAAAATAATACCTGCAGGAAAGTCTTCCTCGATATATTCGTGTCGATGTAGAAACGAGGGTAACGTCGCTTCGCCAAGCGACGAATTCGCCTTAAGGGAAGTAGGCCGATTTTTCGAATCACGTTTCGTGTCTTTGAACCCTGACCCTTTACGTTCTCCCTTTTACTTTACCTCAGGATTTACTTTATCTCTTATCCTTGCGGATTCCACCTCATCCGCAATCTTCCTGGCTAATCTTCCCTATAACGCTACCAATTAAGCCCGCATCCTCCTCTCTGTCCTTTCAAAAGATACTCAGAGCCCGGGCACTTTCAATCGGACTGCGATACCTTCCGGGTTAACATCTCGTCCCTCCCAGTCGATCGTGTCCGAGTGGCAACTTTTTTTTTTTTTTTTTTTCGATTGATGTCAAGAATTTTTTTTTCTTTTTTTATATAAGCTTTAAGGTAACTTCAGGAGTTTCTTTTTTCCCTCGACCGTTTAATCCGAGTAAGCGGTTCCAGAAGGTTTATGAGGTCCTCGACTTTGTCTGTTCGAAGATTGAGATTTTCTCTCCTCTTCTCTCCCATTGTTCGCAAAATGGCTTTGACCGCAGTGACGCGGTGCGTCGCGTCATTTGGCGACGGCACTTGGACACACGAGAGCCTGGCACGACGAGGAAAAGTCCAGCCGCCGTGCACGAGTAGGGGTTGCCGCGCAAGCGCCAAAATATCCCCCCGTCCCCACCCACAAGCACTTCCAGCAATGCCGTCCATGAGAAAAGCAGTCTGACGCCGGGCGCCGCGACGCTATCATGCGCGTGCTTCGGGTCTTTATTCCTGGAAACGAAAGTTCTTAACGGTGCTGGCGTTAAATTATCAATGAAAATGACATCTGACGGAACGACCAGAAAGCTCAAATTTAATCAGTGACGAAATTCCTGCGTTTGGCATATTAGAATATTTTTGGATTTTACGAAAATTATCTCTCTCTCTCCTGTTTACTTCCGCGATCAAGGAATTTCATTTATGACGGTACTTACCCAATCGTTCCGCCCATCAGGACGTTTTATTATTTTTCTGAAAAAAGAAATAAAATTTTGTGTAAAAAATATTACGAGCTACGATGACGAATCCGAAAAAAAAAATTGATTGATTAGAAAAGAAAGAAAAAAAAAGAAAAATTTGGAAAGTTCCATGCGTGATGACGTCACTGAGATCTCGTGAAAAATCGTGTCAAGTGTATTTTACATAATTGCATATTATACCGAGAACAGTCGAAGCGCACGGCGGGCTGAGTCCTCGTGTCGATGTACATACAAAAGGCCTTGTTACCTTCAAGTCAATCCCTGAAGATGAAGTCGTCCGTATAACGAACCGGAAGATAGGCTTAGGCGGCCTGGAAAATCGTCTGCTCGTAACTGTTCGTAACCCCTTTTTAGCTTAACGAGCGAATAACGTAACGTAACAGCTTAAACTTGAAAATCCTCCCGTCGCGTGTAGAATAAATAAGTGGACGGCGATGAATAATCTCGGTGGGAATTGTAGAAGCATTGGAAAAAAATCAATCCTACTCAATTTCATTTATACGATAGAGTTCGAACTATCTCGTGACAATCAAGCAGTCCGAGTATCAATTCCGAATATAGGTTTGACCTTTCTTATCGTATTAAAAAAGAAAGTAAAAAGAGAAGGAAATGGCAAAGCGCCACATTCGCTCAGGCAGATTCCTCTCGGTCGACTCGGCATCCGTGTAGCTAACTCAATTTAACGACACTTTTCAAATTTACTGTATGAATCCAGGGGGAACGTTTAGGACGAACTTTTCACAGTCCCAGGACACGCCGAGGGATTGCCCTAAGCGTCGCGACGCTTCGTGAAAACTTGACGGAATCCTCGTACCGGGATTACCTTTCGAAAACTTATTGTTAGTTTGGTTGGATCGAAAAATTTTAAATTTCAGACAGGAAATCGGAAAACGAAGCGTCAAGTGATTCTGCACGTTGAAATTATAATTTGGTGATCGAGGTAAAATAAAATAGAAAGAAAAAAAAATCTTACTCTTTGCAGGTCGCACTTTCACACTTCTGCGGGAAATAGGAACGCAAAACTTTGAACTCCTATCCATTTCTCGTCTCCTCGATACGAGCTGTTGGAAATAAAGTAGAGTAAAGTCACTGAGTGAAAGTTAAAAAAAAAAAAAGGAGAAAAAAAAAAGATAAACTGTCGACATCAGACTTCAGGTCGGAGTCCGACTGTGGTACAAATAAAGCGCGAGGAACTTGGAAAAATGTTTGGTGAACGGTGAGAGTAAAAATTGAGTTTGTGAGAAAATAGGAGAGGGGATATTTTCCCCCAGGATTTTCCCAAAGACCCCGCGAAGGGGAGCTGAGGTTGGAGAACCGGAAACTGAAGCATCGGAAGGTGGAATAGTTCAACAAGAGCGGCTAGAGAAGCCGAGGAAAATGGGAAAGAAAAATAGTAAACTGAAGCAAGACACTATCGATCGACTGACTACGGACACGTATTGTAAGTGGCAAACGCATTATCCTCGCATCAAATATTTCCGACAACCTCTTGGAAATCCTCAAGAGGCTTGTCCTCCACATTCGAGCCTCCATCGTTTCCCTCTTTAAGGCTATACCGGGTGTCCTCGATGAGGCCGAGGTGCATCCACATGTTCAAAGGGGATTAAAAGACTTTCAACAGGTTTCGACTTTAGATACGTGACAGGGACGGTTTCGGAAAAATTTTCAAAAAATTATTTAACCTCGCTCAGGCATTGATAAAGAAAAATTATATTTCAGATAATCCTACGAATTTTCCTCTTAGTGCCACCCCGTGAATTTAGCACCGTTTGGCTAATCCGAAACGACACGATCCCACCGGGTGTTTCCTGGTGTTGCTTTAATGCAAAGCCGCTTAACGAATCTCTCCTTTTTTCATTCGAAATGTAATAAACGGCGAGATGTCAGAATATTAAGGATCATAGAGTTCGTAAAGTATAATACCCAGGAGATTACGAGTTCCGCCCTTGTAAGGATAGCGCAGTTTGTACGATGACGTGTCTATAGGATTTAGCAGGATCGAGAGGGATGATCGCGTGAAATATATTTTAATGAAATTACGTAATTCCTTAAGCACTGTCCATACGCCGGAGGTTCGACGATCCTCCTGGACACCCGAGGTATTTTCGACGATCTTTCTTACTCAGAGATAATTCCTACGAATGTCGACAGGCACGCACGTTGCGCGTCACGTTTTGCCTCCGTCGACCGAAAACAAGAAAAAGACCATTATTTACCTAAGAGCCCATCAGCGTTTCCGAGGCGGCGCGCGTAACGTAATTTACAGCCGACAAGAAAATCCAAACGCGCGCCGAACCTTCTGGGTGCTTTCGCAAAAAAAAAGAATGAAAAAAGAAAAGACGAGAGAGGCTTCACTACGGACTACACTCGCTCTCTCTCTCTCTCTCTCTCTCTCTCCCCCCAAAGACAAAGCATTTCTCAAGAGGAATCAGTATACAGGACGAGTAACAGCGTTGAGCAATCCAAAGGAAATTGAGAACACGAGCCCAGAGTTCTCGAGAAATTTATAGGGATCCCTTTTAATAGCATTTAATTAAGGCTCCGGCAGATGGTGCTATTTTTGACGTCAGGAACTTAATTGCCCCATTAGCTATACTCGATTTGGCATAACATCTAAACAAATCCATTCGTTTAATGGCAAATTATAAGCATTCGGGGCTCGTGAACAAAGCACGATACGAAATGCCTTAGGGTCTTACAAATAATAGATGCGTAAGGCCGCCAGGTATAACTTCCATCGATCGAAATTATAATGGGTTATGCTATCGTGCGCGAAACTATAGAATTTTTGGTTGAGTCTCATGATACGCATAATCGAGGATGCCCTCGAGCAAGGGCGAAGTGATATTGGTTGTCCAGGGGTAGAAAGCAGGAACTTTTGTTTAGACCAAGTCGACAGCAAGCTTTCTCTGCTTTCTCCCATTGACACAGGCTTCGGCCTCGCTCTCTGCTCTTTTCCGCCAGTCGGCCATCTTGCTTTTATTATTCATTCGATTCGCTCTAGCCAGAGACTAAAGGCAACCACCCTTCGCGCACCGGGGGTAGAAAAGCGGGCAGTACGAACTGCGGCAACGATCGATGCCGATGCGCACTTTTTCCAAATAAAAAAATCCTCCCCTCGCACTTTCACGCCGACACCTCTATCCACGTGAGATCCACGTAGCTATTTATGCTTCAATTACAATAACTCCTCACGTGACATCAATGAACTCACCCGGGAGACCCTCTTGAACGGATCGTCGCCCAAGCGGTCTCCAAGGGTCGGCCCACAGGGACGTCTAGAGGAGACGATGAGGGATGTGGAGGAATTCATGAATTCCCAGCATATTTTACACCCCGTGACGATCGAAGCATCGTGACACGTTGGGAAATACGATTTTGGCGAATCATCCGAAATTCACACGCGGGAAGCTCGAGGATTTCTCTTAAAGCATTATCGGAGATTCAGCATCCTTGGCGCTCAGTATCCGTAGAGGGTTGAATATACGTCGTTAACGTTGCTGGAACCGCTGTAATTATATATTATAGGGCTTTAGCAGTCGGGGAAACTGACTGGGCCAGGTACGTACCAATGAAAGGGACTGTCTGAGGACTTTGGGAATGTAAGACCCCGCTGGAGTCGAGGAATAAGGCACAGGGCCCACCAAGAGAATACAATGGTAGCTTTGTGTAACTTTATCTCTTGCTCCGTAAGACTTAATTAAACGGCAAGATCTGGATCTTTGAGACGCTATATGTATAGTGTATGTGTATCGCCGAATCGGTGAATTATCTTACGAGACTAGAATCTTCATCCCCGTCTGACTGTTACCCCCTGTGACTATTGGAACTCCAACTTTGACTTCCCCTTCGTATATCTAACAATATCTTTTGAATATGTCACTGACTAACGGCCTAAGGGCGGTATCCCCAATAGTGCGTCTACGGAGACGCAAACAAGTACAGAAGCGGAGCGAGGGAGTGATAACTGTAGCCGCGGTAGAATTTACGTTCGCTCGACGTTTAAAATTTATTAGAGCCATTCGTAAAGTCGAGGGCGATTTGGCTTTCGTGACTGTCGCTGGTATCGCGACGGCGAGTCGAGTTTGAAGAAGACGGCCAAGTTTTTCTTTAGATTTTCACTGCGTAAAAAGGTCGGAACGAATGATGGAGAAGAAGAAAATAGGTGGTTAATAAATTTCAGTAAATTAGATCTCTAGCTCTATCGTTCTCTCTCGTGCAATGTCGAAAAATTATTTGACTTCTTATCGTGTTATTCCGTCTCGAATGAAATTCAGAAAACGCCCCAAAAAAATAGCTATACGGCCAAACGTATATCTGTATCTATAAATCTATCTTGGGCATATCTGCATACCTTGGGGGATGTGGTATACAAAAAAAAAAGTGCTTTTGAGTTATAGGAAATTCTTCCGACCATCGTAACTATTCGTTTAACCTTTTTTTTTTCTTCATTTTATGCCTCTGTGCCTTCATCTAAGAAACGTGACTCCGTGGAATTCTTAAATCGGCGCTTAAAGCCGGAAACTCGACTGCTCGGCTGGAATCAAGATCCTCGCTGAGATTATGACTCGAGCGAGCTTCATTCCCTTTACCCTTTGTTCCTCATTTCTTATCTCTTGTCGGTGGGATGGTCCAGCAATTTTTAACGAGTCGTGATTGGACTCTGCCAAAGGTAAGAGAGGAGTAAATGAAAAAAAAAATAATGAAAAGCAAGAAAATAGCATTTTTCGAATACCAACGACTTTCGAAAATTCGAATTTATTAATAATCAACTTTTTGCATCTGCATATTTTTCTACTATATATAAAATCCTAATCAGAGCAGTGGTACCTAATCGCCTCCTGAAGCTGGTAGGAATAACGATAGTTGTCATTCAAAAGCTGATTGTTGATTTTTTTTCCGCAAAATAATAATACCTAGACAGGACAACGTAGATCGAGTGATACGAGAGAAAACGGGTATGTTGTTGGTAGTACGTATGGTTGCATCCCTATATAGGGTGTTCCAAGTAGTTTAGCTACAGGGGGTAGCAGGAAAATTAATCTTCGTATCGTCCACCCCTTCAGAGTTTTCCGAGGCACGTCTCGATAAAAGTTATCATTTGTATCGGTAGACTGTCGATTTGCCGTTGCCAACCTTGGGGGACTTTACAATATGTCACCCGGTAACATAGAGAAAGAGACTGGGCGATGAACAAAAAAAAATATGAAATTGAGTTAAAAATAGAGGCGGATGGTGAAATCGTCGAGGTATCAAATATGAGAGGAAGAAAATACGTAATAAGGGCCTTCCCTGTACATATACATATATACATGCATGTAAGCAACCAAGGAGGCGATTCCAGATAAATTGAAGGTGCGCGTAATAAATAAAAGATTCATAAAATTATGCATGAGTGTGTATAGAACGTAGGTTGGTACGACTGGCCCGTCAGGGTTTCCGCACAGTCAGCACCAACCCTACTCGAATTTATACGAGTTATATCCCAAGAGCGAATTTATCCCTTAGCCGCTAGATTTCTTCCAGCTTCCAGGACTCAGCCACCCTTACCGTAGCTACAGCTTTGCAGTAACTACCCCTGCGAACGACCCTGCAACAATTCGTTCTCCAATATATTGCCTACAGTGGCCAGCCTGTGACAACACGTGCGTCAACCGTACGCGGTAGCTAAACGTCAAGGCGAACACGAGCAACGTAGAAAGACACGCGAGTGCAGGAAAGTCGAAGCTTCGAAAGTGCACGAGAGGCTCGCGCCTTGAGAAACTTGCGACACGTAGGCTGATGTCATTGGTCTCTTTCCTTTTTAAATATTCTTTTTACTCGTATCGTAAGAAATAATTAATCGCGATGGCCCAATTACTCCTAACCCGAGCTTTTACACGCTTGTATATGTATATATTTATCACGTGCGTTTCTACGTTCATACGTCATTAGTTATTACCATACTTTTCACATTGCAGACTTTCCATCGCGTCCTCGTTTTACTCAAGGAAATTATTCTCGCCCCGTCCAAGTCTCAAGCCTCCTATTTCTAACTGCGACTCACCTTCCGCCCAGAGAAAAATAACGCACGCTAATTCCTCCTGCCGTTAAAATTCACTTGGGGGTTATTACAAGCTCGCACAGACCTGAAGAGTCGGAGCGAGAGAAACCGAGAGAGAGAGAGAGAGAGAGAGAGAGAGAGAGAGAGAGAGGACTGTTTATTATCAGACTAAAGCCTCGAGCAAAGCCGGTAAATCCACAGCTGTAAAGAAATAAATTTATTGTGTCGTTTAGTGCTGTTTTCATGCACACACGCCCCCCCGCCCCCGCCCCCCGTGCATGCGTATTATGTGTATATAATACAGACACATATAAACAGAGTCCATGGTCAACATGGTAGTTTTCAAAGAAAAAAAAAAAAAAGTACGAGAAATAAAAAATGAACAAAAAGAAAAAATC